TATCATAATCATTACCATTAGAATTATTATCATAATCATTACCATTAGAATTATTATCATAATCATTACCATTAGAATTATTATCATAATCATTACCATTAGAATTATTATCCTAATCATTATCCTAATCATACCATTAGAATTATTATCATATCATTATCGTTGTTCTTACTTTTCTTTTGTGTTCCCACCCGTGCTTCTCACTCCCCGAAGGTCAAGGCCTAGTACCAAATACCCCAGCTGTGTGCACGGTGTGAGTAGCGTACTGTCTTTTGGTTTACTTTTTACTGTTCACAGCGTGCGGAAATATATCACAGCCCCGATACATAACTATTTTACATGTAGAACTGTATAAGGATATGATTGGGGTTCTTTTTTGGGGGGGGTTTTAGTAAGAGTTTTACGGCACTTGCAACACAATAAGGTCGGTGTGCCGAAGATTAGAGGTGTTACAAGAGAGTAACAAACATAAGAAAGAAGGAGAATAGATAAATACGATAGATGCTTGATAGGAAAGAAGCAAACCACAGCAGAGCCCCCGTCAACCACCCACAAGGATATGTTTTGGATATACCTGTATACACTATGATACATAAATGTATGTTATAACTGTTAAAGTACACAGATTGGTGTTCCACTAGCGTATAATATAATAATCACTGTATACAGGTATGTCTTGTGTAATACATCATGATAAATGAATGTATACTAGATTTCTATCCCTGTAAACGTACATGTTTTATGTTACATAAGTGTATACTAATATAACAGCTGTATACGGGTATACGTAAATTTATACTATAACTGTTAACGTTCATGTTTTAGGTTACATAAGTGTATGTGTATAATAATAAAACTGTATACGGGTATGTGTTTGTACAAAACATCATACCTCAAAAATATATACTCTAACTGTTTACGTACATGTTTTGTGATACATACGTGTATAATAATATAACAACTGTATACAGGTATGTGTTTGTATTTTATATAATGTTAAATAAATGTATACTATACATGTAAACGTACATGTTTTATGTTACATAATGATATGTGTATAATATAACAACCGTATACGGGTATGTTTTGTATTAACAATATAGTTAACTTTACGTAAAAGGAAAACCCACACATATAACTACATGGCGTTGTACAGAAGGGCAAGAGCCCAATTGTTGCTGGATCTATAACAACGTTTAAACGAAGGTACAATATTATAACTGCATCATGTTTAAGCAAAACGCAAAAGACAAACTGTGAAAGAAACCTGATATATATCATGGCATGTACACTTTTTTGTTGTTGAAGCAAAAGACAAAACACAAACGGTGTAATATCTAACATGATATTTGTATTACGTTGAGCAAAACACAAAACACAAACGGTGTATTATCTAACATGATATTTGTATTACGTTGAAACAAAACAACAAAACACAAACGGTGTATTATCTAACATGATATTTGTATTACGTTGAAACAAAACAACAAAACACAAACGGTGTATTATCTAACATGATATTTGTATTACGTTGAAACAAAACAACAAAACACAAACGGTGTATTATCTAACATGATATTTGTATTACGTAAAGCAAAAGGCAAAAGACAACACAAAAGACAAACTGTGAATCTAGCCTGATAGATTAAGTATTACGTTGAAACAAAACAACAAAAAACAAAAACAAACGGTGTATATCTGACCTAGTATGTATTATGATACGCAATACGTTAAAACAAAGCACAAAAACACAAACGGTGTGTTATATAACCTGATATATGTATATATATATGTATGTATTATGTAGAAACCAAACGCAAAGACAAACGGTGTCTATCTAACCAGGTATGTATTATTTTGTAACAAAACATAAAACACAAACTACAAACGATGTATATCAAACTTGATTTTATGTATTACGTTATTAATTATTATGTTGAAACAAAACACAACCCGTACACATTTAACCAGATATTACTGTTCTGTACACTGTATTATGTTGACGCAAAGCAGCAAAACACACACGGTGTATATCTAGCCTGATTATGTATTATATGTGTTATGTTGAAACAAAACACAAGAGACAACACAAAATCTAAACTGTGAATCTAGACTGACAATTATTACGTTGACACAAAACACAAAACACAAATCGCATATTATCAAACCTGATAATATGTATTATTTTTAAACGAAACACAAAAACCCAAACGGTGTGCTATATAACCTGAGGTGTATGTATTATGTTGAAACCAAGAGCAAAAGACAAACGGTGTCTATCTAACCTGGTATGTATTATTTTGAAACAAAGCATAAAACACAAACTGCAAACAGTGTATATCTAACTTGATATGTATTACGTTATGTATTATGTTGAAGCAAAACACAAACCGTGTATATCTGACTTGATAATATGGTTATGTTGAAACAAAATACGAACACAAACCGTGTATATCTGACCTGATTATATGGAATTATGTTGAAACGAAATACGAACTCAAACCGTGTATATCTGACCTGATAATATGTTTATGTTGAAACAAAATACGAACACAAACCGTGTATATCTGACCTGATAATATGGAATTATGTCGAAACGAAACACAAACACAAACACAAACCGTGTATATCTAACCTTCTGCAGTTCGTGTCGCCGAAAAACCGTTTATCTCCAGATCCGGAAGTGAGCGGAAGTGAGCAGAAGTGAGCAGAAGTGAGCGAACTGAACGACCACCGGCGAAATAATCACCACCAAGAACAACAAATCCTCCAAAACACACACACGCACGCACACGCGCACGTACGTACGCACGTAGGCTCGTAGGCTAATAACAACACACTGTTTAATACACACACACGTGCGCACGCACGCACGTAAGTACGCACGTAGGCTGATAGCAACACACTATCGAATACTTAATACACACACACGCGCGCGCGCGCAAACACACCGACGCACACGTGAACGAACGTACACGCTCACGCACACACACACACCAGCGACGCACTTACAACCTGTAAAGATCTTCCCTCACGAAGCCGAGACGAACGTTTTCGTTACTAATCTTCGCGTTTGTATGTTTGTTTGTGTGCTTGTTTGTGTGTTTGCTTGTTTGTTTTTTATGTTTCCCACCGTGCCTGTCGGAGAAGAACTGGTTCCGCTTGTGCTGTCTGGCGTCACCGGAACGGCGCGAAGCATGAGCCAGACTGTAGGCCCGCCAGGTCGTCAGGTAGTTTAGCTTCTTCCGGCCGACAGGGGGCGGAGTCGATTACTGTACTTACTGATACAGGCCCGGGGGAGTCGTTTGATTGCTAAAACCTCCCCCCCCCCTTCCGACAAACATACACACATACACACACACGCACATAATATATAATTTTATAC